ACTTTAAGTTTTAACGATATAAACAAAATAAATGGTAAAGTGAATAGTATCAGGATTGACTTTTTAGTGTAAAAATGTGATTTTTCGTTAAAATAAACAGTATTTGGAGCTTTTTATTAAAGTTCCTTAAAAATAAAACAGCAATTGATCATTTACTATAGTAGTGAAAAAGTATTATGTTTTTACATGACGGCATGAGTTCAAACACCGTTGATAAATAATTTAATATCTAACTTACTAATGTTATCGCTCGGCTCAAAAATTAAAAAAAAAACAAAAAAACAAAATTAACCTGTAATTGTCAACTGAAAAATCATTAGCATTTGACAAAAAAAAAAAGAGTCTTAACGATTAAGCTTCGGTTGGCACTCAACTTTTCTAATATATGTTTGGCCCACAAACAGAAATGGATCTATCTTATTAAAAATACGGTATAAATGTGATATATAATTTTTAATAAGAGTAACATTTTTGCTAGGTTTATTTAGTTTAACCTGACTAGTCAGAATGAGGATCTTCTTCGGATCTTTTTTGTGAGAATTCTAGGAATCCTTAAATAGTGTCCGTTTATCGTATATAGTGCGATCAGAAATTATTTTAAATACTTTTATTTAAAATTAAATATGAATAGTAACTGACGAAAATTAATCACGCAATGTACGATAAACAGACACAATTTGAAAATCTCCAGGATGCTCACAAAGAGTATCCTCATTCGACTAGTCATATATCAATATTGGTATACCGTACGAGATGTGTTAAGTGAATGTGTAAACATCACATTAATTAAAGATTCTATCTTATCAAGTATTATTTTACCTTTTTAGGTGTTGATTGAATATTACATGAAGTGAAACTAAAATGTATTACAAATATATGGTAAATCTAACATTATTTTTTTGGTGAATTATATTTTACAAATTTGTCATTTTAAATTCTCATTCATAGAAAGTTAGAAATGATACTTATTTGCATGAAATTTAAACTTAAGAAATGGTAGTCCCAAATGTCAAGTTTTTTTTCAAGCGGAAATTCTAAATTTATTTACTTATGAATCTAAACAAGAGAATTGGTACATGTCAATTTATAAACTATGACTTTTGTCAAAATTAAGAGAAAATTCAAGAAGAAATCGGCAGTTCACTCCCCGAATATTACCAAACAATACTTGTCTTGGTAGATGTATGAACACTGAAAATTTGTTGCAAATAATATAAAGTGAAGGAGAAAGACACACATACACATCTAAAGAAAATAATATTTTTATTAGGTTTGCAGAATGCGACCAAGGAAGGCGTAGTTTTCATGGATTAATAATGCATGTTTTCTTGTAAGTAATGCTATGCTTTGTCTTTGATTTAAATCCAAAACTAGTTGGACGACCTTCTTGTCGATCTATGATGAACTCTTGCCGAGTCAACTGAGTCATGAGATGTAGGGTCCTTTTTAAAATGATGGTTGTCAACTTTAGCATTTGGATTCTTTCTTGGGACAAATATTTTTTTACAAGCAAGGATAAAGAGGTTTCCTTAATTAACTAATACAATTACACAAGTTGTTAAATGGGTAAATTCTCTGATGACTAATAATTTGATTTGAGGAAAACTCTTACATGACCGCCATATGAACAAGAACCACTGAGAACACACCAAATTATCACCAAATGGCGAGACCATATCACCTGTTAAAGTAGTACAAACAATTACAACAAAACTAAATTAATCTTAATTAAAAAAGAACGAATCCGCCAATTAGCTTCATCTTCATAGTGAGTGTGAAACTGACAGCGTCAATGACATAACTATATGCCTACATTCATATAAGATGAACAATTGATGGTCAAGATTTATTTGGTGATGCCAAGATGGATAAATGATGTGTTGCCTTCGTTTTGAGCAAGACCAAGTCAAGTATGTAACTTGGAAGATCAAACAAAGACTTTTGGGGCATTTTTCGTCTCAAAAATGGTCATATACTTTACTTTGATCTACGGGGTAGTCGAAAGCAACCTTTCCTAAAATCAAAGACATAAATAAAATGATTGAATGTATTTGACTGGGAAAAACTTACGCAAGGGAAATGGTAAGGAGACTCTCTCAACGAGATTGTTTATGGAACATATGTCACCTCACAATTCGACATTGTTGGAGAACAATTCAGAAATAAACAAAATAACAGAAATTCTATTATTTTATTAACTAAAATATACTTGCTGTGCAGAATGAAAATTATACAATAAATACAGAATTAATGTTACTAACTTGATTGCAGAAGGTAGACGTTAGCGTAAAAGCTATGTCCTTCGAACAGTATTTTCGTCCCACTCCTGTGCTTGTGGTTCTACAACGTCTACTCGATTAGGATTCGACTACCTAATTCTACAATCCGCACTGGATTCTAGAACTCTAGCGAATTTGTTTTTTGTGTGTTTACTCTCTAGAAATTCGTACATACGTCTACTCGACCAGGATTCAACTACCTAATTCTACAATCCGCACTGGATTCTAGAACTCTAGTGAATTTTTTTTTTGTGTATTTACTCTCTAGAAATTCGTACAGAAGAAAGGAACAAGAAAGGATGATCCATTTGGAAACTGTGATTACAGATATATAGGTTATTTCACACCCTTTCAAATACCTGTTCAGTGTATTTGAAGGTAAACAACTCTTTCTAAGAGCTATGTCTTTTAATCAAAACGTTTTTAATTAATAAATTAATTAAAGACTTAATCCGAAAATTAAAATTAATGAATCAGATTAATTTTAAATTCTAAGGCCCAAGGCCCTTGTCTTGATTAATTAATATTAATTGTATTTAGGCTATATTATACAAGCCTAATCCACACAACCATAAGGTCCAAGCCTTCAATCCATTTTCAAATGGCCCATGTTGTAATTACTAAACTAAAACATTAAATCTATATAAAGGCCCTTGGGAATTTTGTTTTCCCCAATGTGGGACAAGAGTCTCAAAACTTCTAACAGACATAATATTTTATAATATTAGCACGAAAATTAATGTTAAACTGTGAGATGACAAAAAATTCATAAAAAGTCTAACTTTTGAGATAGTCTCCTTAGAATTTACACAATATATATTTGTAACTTATGTCGTAAGAATGTTCCCCTTACATTGGGAAGAGTAAGGGAGGAAGACTTGTAGCATTGCTACTCTTTCATGGGCTTATAAGTTGAGTTATGTATTCCTTTATCGTCAATTGATTTTATAGTGGAACCTCAACTTTCTTCACACTTCCCATATTGACAATTAGTTTATGGTAGAATCTCAACTTCTTTCATGGTATCGTGGAGCCTCAACTTTCATCATACTCCTCATATTACAAATTGATTTATGATGAAATCTCAACTTTCTTCGATTTGAAATTCGCTCATGTATGAGATAAATTACACATTCTTAATTGATCTGAGATTATTCATAAAATATGTTGACTACTTTTTAGATTAATTCCATATGTGTTGGTAAAATGTACAGTGTTGGTAAAATGTACTGAATGTTACTAATATCTTACCAACCCATTCGTGATAACAATCTACTAAAAAATTAATGGAAATTATTTCTATATTATTATTCGATATGCTACTGTATCCATGATTTATTTAGAGTGATAATTGTCACTTTCTATGCAATATTAATAGACAATTAACATGATGCTGAAACTTTTGTCATATTGTAATTATGAAAAGCTTTTTTTTTTTTTTTTTCTTCTTTCATATATGTTGTGTTACTTGTGTATAAAAAAGGCAACCTTACTAGATACACTAGAATTTCTATGAATTTATTTTGTTCACACACAAAAAAAAAAAAAAAATTGAAAAAAAAGAAAAAAGGGCAACCTTGAGTCAATAAAGTTTTTCACCTTGCAAGAATCGGGAGAAACGTCTATCATACACAGTCTTATTCTTACTTTGCAAAAAGTCTTATTTTCACAACTTGAACTAGTAACTTTTCGGTCACAAATGAGCAACATTTTCGTTGCATCAAAATTACGTTACTTGTGTATAGATTGTGCAAGGTCTTAAAGATTGTGCAAGACTGGCAATTTTCTAGTCCGAAAAACAAAGAAGCTTACAGCAGCATACACATAAAGCAAGTTGTATGGTCAACATCGGGCGGGATCCTGCTGGAGTCTAAAATTGTGGTCAAGATTTAAACAAGTAGCAGCAGCTAAATTGCATTTACATCCTCAGATTTGGCAAGAATTGAATCTGCATCTGAATTATCAGGCTTGCGTTGCAGGCTCGCTCTTGCAAGTGAACCAACATTTGATGTCGCTACGTGCCATATTACACAGCCACTATGCATGCTTGAAATACATATCACATCCAATTAGCAAAATGTTGAGCAGGAATGCCAATGAGCAGTTAATACAATCTTTCGACTATCGGAGTTATACGATTTAGACATACAGAGTCATACTTGTCAGAATCATACGGCAAACACCTTTGAAATGCCTAATCATTACGATCCCTAGTGCTCTTGTGTCTCTTGTGTTATGAAATAGTGGAACAGATGATTCGGGAAGAGTTGATAAGCTCTCAGCAGCACTCTACTTGTTCCACAAGAATAATGATGCATCAGATCGCTGCGAAGTGCACAAATACCGGCAGAGTTGGTCAATAAGCAAGCGGACTAATTCCAGCTTTAATGAGCATTGCCGTTATCATTAAGCTACTGCCAAAGGAACAGGAGACAAGGAACGGACAGATGTTATTCAAGATTAACACAGCTATATGTTTAGCTGTTCAACAAAAGTGCTATCTGCTGCACAAGTAATCCTAAAATACTGCGGACAATCTTCTTTTAAAACACAAGAATTAAGAACGACAAAGGGCATACCTATTTTGAGTTCGTTTCGCTATTCAAATTTGACATGAGCTCTTCCAATTCATCAACTATGGCAGAATAACAGAAAATATATTGCTCCTAATAAATCACAAGTTCAAGAGAGTTAGAACAATTGTTTTAGTAAAGTTGGCACACATAGTGACAGAAAACAGTAACCTAAAATATTATTCTTTACAACAAAACAAACCAGTATTCTGAAATATCAGTGACATTTGCTATCAAATTTTATGAATTAAAAATTTCCAATAAGACCTAAATGTTATAATTCTGACTCTCTGGATCTTGCTCTTTGATGTATCAGGTGGCAATTGACTAAACTTAGCAAATTAGAGAAGAACTAGAAACAAACAAGATTTATATTGGTTCGGCAGAACTTTTGCCTACATGCAACTGTGATTTCCCTGAGTAGAGAAACCATGGCTTCTTTGATTAATAATAGAGTTGCAGCACTTTTGCAAAACCCTAGAACTAATCACCCTTTATCCCTCTCAGCTGTCTCTAGCTTTTCTCTATGTTTCCCTAGCCTTGCCGCACCCTATTTATAAATATAGGGTGTGGTTTATAGCATGTGCATTATGATTATTTTACTCTCTTCAGTTTTGTCTGCAATTAAGTCCAAGGGGAGTTTCCAATTTGCATTACTGCAAGATAGGAACTGGGTAATTCATATAATTATCAAATACCTACTTGGCATCTAGTTAAGTTTTCGACAGTGTTCTATTCTACTCTCAAAGCTGCCAAAAATAATAATAATTGCATGCAGTGAATGGCGCGACGAAATGTTATTGGTAATCGTTTGGCAGTTCTGGTTTAAGCCTTAAAAAGAAGGGAGTTTTAACGAAAAGCCCGTGGTACTGTTCACTTTAATGAAAAACCACATTTTTACAATAAAAAGTCAAACCTGGTACTATTCACTTTACCCTTTATTTTGTCCTTATCGTTAAAACTCAAAGTTTTCGAGCCCTTTTCATTAGTTTTCCTAAAAAGAATAATTAACAGTGGATATTTAGACAAATGAGGAAGAAGTTACCAGTGTCTGGACCATTCCAATTCGCTGAGACCTAAATGTGGTTATTGTATCAACAAGATTTAAAGCAGACATGTCCCCAGCAAGAATTCTTTGTACTGCATTATGAATTGAGCAGTATGTTCCAGTTCTCCCAATACCTGCACTGAGGAAGATAGTGAAGGTGTCAGGAAAACATGCACATATAAATTACCAAGCATCACCCGGACATGCAAGTCATAAAAGTGAGTTTAACCTGCAATGCACCACAATTGGGCCAAGGTTTGGTGGTACTTGATATATTCTTTTCAAGATTTCACGGACCACAAATGTGTTCTTTGGAACTCCATGGTCAGGCCATTCAGGATACTGAATATGCAAAACAGACATGGGTGGTTCTTCGGACTGCAGCATAACAATAAACAAATAGAATGTGAGGAAATACCACTCCAATCTATGCACAATGGTGGTCATAATTCCAACAAACCATTCAATTAAAATATGAGGGAATACAAAATCCAATCTTTTCATAAAACATTTGAACAAGAAAAAGGCACATTTAAAGGATTATGGACCAGAACCCAAAAATTGAGTTTTATTTTCTTTTTCTAATGTTCAAATGGCAATTTCGGGACCAAAATGTGAAGCAATGGACAGGCACATAAAAATAACTTCTAACGGGGGGAAACAACAAATAGAACCTCAAAACCGAACTTAAGACAACTAAACACCATATAAATATCAAATTACCGAAAAAGGCCCATAATAAGTGCTTTTCCAACATTCAGAATTTCAGATCCAGCAATTATTGGAATCATATTACCACGAATGACTCCAAAAACAGGTAAACTCACACAAAACAAAATAAAAACCCCACAACAAAAGACATAAACAAAGATGCACACTATCGTTTATCGAGAATGCACATCATGGGGTTACGTAGCGTGCTCCAAGACATCTGAGCCTCAAGGTGATGCAACAGAAACGCCAGAGTATTTGGCATATGCCTCACACCTTTATGCTGAAGGACATGCTTCAGCCTTCAGGGGTATCATGGCATCGAATTTGAATTACATATAAGTTATAACAGAAACCCAATTCCTCGATCATTCCCGGCCTAACAGCATTCTCCTTCTTTGTGTTCCCTCATTAATGGCTATCTACTGTTTTCGGCAAGAATTTTCCTTTGATGTGACCAGAAAACAAAGGAGATACGAACAATGTTCAACAAAGAAGATTATAGTGCAGAAACCCTAACTGTCCTACAGCCATCGTCATGACTCATGCATAAACTTCAACTCAATCAAGTCAACTAAAGGTCTTGTTCAGAAACAAAGTTTGGGATTGCCAACAAACTATGGAAAAGGAAAACGCCTCATAGCTCCAAAGTCGTCCCTAATCCGTAAAACGTGCATCAAAACAGTCAAAACAGAATTGTTTCATCTTGAGAGTGAAATAATATAGAAAATCTGTTCAGAGACCAGTCTATTTGGGAGACTGCTATTAGCGCATTGCTCAAGATCCCAATTCACGCAATAACTATTAACATTAGATAGACTCTTCAATGAAGCTTAACAGACAATGAGTCTTAAATTACATTTTGCCATTTGATTACCTCCTACCAAATGAAACCCTCATTACTATTCAGAAATGACTGCATTATTATATTCCTGATGTACCAAAATGCTCCCCAAGTAATCAAACTTTTTAAAGACCCTAGCAAAATCTATCGCTCCTGTCCCCAAATTCTATTAAAACAAATAGGATAACTGATATAGCATGAGTCTTAATTATGTTCTTTAAATTGGCTTAACAACCATTTGTATCCTGGACAAGAATGAAAATCATGTGATGCCTTACCTCTTTGGAGTTAACCTCCAAAAGGCGCAACACTAATGAAGTGTCAGTAGTTCTTAGCCACTTGGTGCTTATGCATATGTTACCGAATTCCCTAGGGCCATCTTCAGCCTGAAAATAATCTCCACATTTAACCATCTGCACATACATGGGAAAAAGGTTAAGAAATCAGGAGAAAATAATACTTGTAAATTTATTTGTTCACGTAATTTCAAAATGAAGTTGTCTCAAAACCCATAAGCATGAAAGGGCAAACTAACTTCAGTAGCATTATTTGTTAAGAAGAATATATCATATGGATTAACAAATAAGTAAGTAGCATCTCTCAAAAAAGGTCTGTACAATGTAGAACAAGCTTCTTATTGCATTTTTTCATGACAATAAAAGCCTCTTTAACTGTATATCTTCCGATGAGATGCCTGACAATGCAACTCAAGACAGGAAAGTACCGTGTAACAGTCAACTAAGCGAGTAAGCATGATGACCACCGGGCAGCGTTGCTCAAGTACCATCTCCCAGAAATCCTCATATGTGTGCGGAAGTGGACCTTGTGTTGCTATAAATCGAGAAATGCTTTCGGATGAACTAGTCTACAATTAACAGATTACTGAATATGAGTGGTCATTAATGTGTTACTAATATCATTTCAGATCACAATTCTCTCTTTCGGAAACATGAATGTAAATACCGCGATTAAGCTGGCGTTGATGTAGCCCCTCGCAGAAGGTCTGTAATCCTTACAGGAGTTGAGAACAACCCTATTTTTGTCAACTGAATCCAACAACAAAAACTCAAATCAAATTATCAACATTGTCAATTGTGTAAAAATTTAAAGAGAGCCCAGATTGAGGCATACATGGTACGACATCAGTGTATCGGTTTTTGCCGGAATTGACACTGTCAAGAGCCACAGTGCAGTTCCTCTTCATCTCAGATAATGTAATCCTCTTGGCCTATTAAGCATTCATGGCAGATGTTAATTATTAATTTTTTTTAGAGAAATTAAGTAAATCAGGAGAAAAGCAAAGACCTGTAGCTGAGCGAACTCCTGTTTGATATGGTCAGGCATCTGGAGCTTTTCTTTGAAGAGCTTGAGAGCCTGAGAGCAGTACTTGTACTGGTCGGGGGTGAGGGCGAGTTTCGGAGGCGGAGCATCGGCCGAGACTTTCAAGGAAGGGCGGGGTTTGGCTGCGGCGGAAGAGGCGGTGGCGGCCATCGCCGTGGATCTCCGGTGGCTGCGGGAGCGCCGGGAAGTGGAAGTGACGTTCCCCAGTTTTTGGGGTTTGGGTAGTACAGAATTTGATTGGGTAATTTTCTTGGAATTGCAATATTCTGTCCACAGTTGCGATTTGGTTGAAATCAGAGGGCGTTGGTTTGGTTCGATATATTTCTGGGTACACCCCGACCCGAATATTTACCTGGATACCGAAATCGAGGGTATGCAATGCAACCAACCAATACGCGTAAAAGGTACGAATAAATCAAAACTTAAAACTAACTTTATGAACATTGTGATCTTGTTCTTTTCACTTTTAGTTAAGCTTTTAAAGATGAAAACTGGACGAGAGCATTGGATGAAGAGAGTGTGTGAAAAATCATACGTTAATCATACGTTACACGGGAAATATGTGATTGGATTAGAATGGGTCAACAAAGAAGATGACTCTGGCACAGGGCACCACTGCTAGGGATGGGCAAAATATCCATGAATTTGGGTAACCACAATTACCTGCTCATTTAAAGTTCACGGTTACGGTTATGGGTAACCGTTTAAACGGTTATAGTATAACCATTTATCCGTGAAATTTAAATGGACGGTTATAGATATTATCCGCGATTATAATGGGCATTACCCGCGGTTATACGGGTATACATTTATTCATTTAATTTAATATATATATATATAATTAAAAAAAGAATTTATCGCAAGTGTTCGAAATTATTAAAAAAAAGGACTTGATAGCGTAATTTTTTTTTTCCAAATTTACCCCTGACATAACCTACAATTACTCAGGAACTTTGAACACACAGACACGCACACACATACACAAAACAACAAAAATAAAATAATTAAAAAAAAAGTAACCGACAATGGTGGGTGTGGAAAATGAGGCAACACCAAAAGCCCCATATGCGACAGAAAAAGGCAAAGACAGTGAACGGGCTTGATTAGGTTCGGTCAGGGGTAAATTTGGAAAAAAACATTTACTGTTAGTTGGGCTTTTAATTCAGTCCGTGAGTTTTTTTTTTATATGGCTTTTAATACATCAAAACATTTATTTTGGAACTTTGAATCATCTCGTATTCAAAATAATAACTACTTTTTGTTTTTAGAAACTTTACTTTGTAATCATATGGATTATAATTAAAGACTTGCTTGGGTGTAGCAGAAAAATATCATTTGTAAACTATTATTTCAATTTATTGGAATTGTATGAAGATTTAAATGATTAAAATAAGGAAATGCATGCTAAAATGTACTTATAACGGTGTTTAATTGTCAAAAAACGAAAATTATGACATTTTTTTTTTTTTTGTAATTTTCAAATTGTTAAACAAAAACATATAGATGGGTGAAAAAGGGGTAAATGAGTAAAAAAAAGGATAAACGGGTTCAAAAACGGATAAACGGGTAAATGATTATTGTTAAATGGGTATACGATTATGGGTATGGATAACCGTTTATAAATGATTATAGTTATGAGTGTAACCATTTATGTACTTACCCAACGGGTAAACGGTTATGCATGTATGAACATAAACGGTTATTGGTAAATAACCACGGTTACCCGCCCGTCATAACCGTTGCCCATCCCTAATCGGTGCAAATGGCTTTGTTCGGTTCGGTTCGATTCTAAGTGATTTCAATAAAATCAAGTCAAATTGAATCATAAGTGCTAGTTGGTTCGATCATGCTTTTTATGTCAAATCAAATCAAACTAAAACGCACCACCAACCATTAAGAGAAGGGATTTTCGCCTGATCATCTTAGCGATGATTTCAAAGATCTCAAATCATATTCGTTCATCGTACATCGTATGGTCAGTTTTTGTCAGGTATTATTTATATTCAATTTTAAATAAAAAATTTACAATGATTTCTGATCTCACGATATACAATGAACAGATGTGATTGAATAATCTCTGAAATCCTCACAAAAAGGATCCAACGATGATCCTCCTAAAACCCTTAATAATAGGGACAATGATGTGTCACACCACTACGTAGTACCATGTGGGGTTGCACCAGTAGTTGTTCTTCTATGTCACAAGATATTTTTTAGTGTACTAAAAACACGAACGGAATAACACATGTCGTTGTATAATTGAAGCAAAGTTTTCTTTAAAGTGTTTCTTCCCATTGTATGAGGACATGTGATATTCTCTCCCGTGTTCTGGCACATTAAGAATCCTTCCTGTCTCACGGTCTTAAGGAAAAACGGTGCAATTCGATAAAAAAAAAAAGAAAAAAAAAAGTGCAATAACCCAAAACCCTCCTTAAACCCTCACCAAACGGAAGAGCGAGGAACCAAATGTCTCCAATATACATCGCCGTCCGCCGCTCTCTCCCAAAATCATATTCTCAGTCCTCCCACCACCGCCACACCCTCCACAGAACCTTCTTCGTCGACGCCACCACCACAAAATGGGTCCGAGACCGAGGCCTCGACCACGCCGTCGAGAGGGAGAAGAACCTCAGGCCACTGATCAACATCAAGAACTTCATCAAATCAGAGCCGTCCAAGTCCCTCCCCATTTCCATCATCGCTCAAAACAGAGAATCTCTCATGATACCCACCCGCTCCATCGAATTCATCCGCAAATACCCTTCGATTTTCGAGGAATTTCTCCCCGGCGGCGTTGCAGTCCACCCCCATGTCCGGCTCACTGCCCAAGTGCTCGATCTCGACACTGAAGAAGAGCTCATGTACCAGAGCGAGAGCTACAAGCAGGACGTCGCTGACCGGCTTTTGAAGCTCCTAATGCTGGTAAGAACCAATAAACTGCCCCTAAATGTGATTGATCGCTTGAAATGGGATCTGGGTCTTCCTCAAGATTTTGAGAGAACCTTAGTCCCTGAGTATCCGGACTATTTTAATGTCGTAGCTCGCAAAAGTTCGCCTTCTGGGTCCGAAAGTTTGCGGGATTTGGAGTTGGTGTATTGGAAAAATGAATTCGCAAGTTCGGTAATACAGAAGAAAGCTTTAGCTATGGAGAAGAAGGCTTCTGCTAGGAAGAAGAAGGCAATGAGTGGGGATTCTGCTTCAAGGGAGGAAAATCAAATTGTTTTTCCTATGGAGTTTTCGAGAGGTTTTGAGGTGGATAAGAAGTTCAAGAAGTGGATTGATGAGTGGCAGCAGTTGCCTTATGTATCTCCATATGAAAATGCAGCTCACCTTTCTTCAAAGAGTGACGAATCAGATAAGTGGGCGGTCGCGGTTCTGCACGAGCTTCTGCATATTTTGGTTCCGAAGAAGACGGACAGGGAGAATATCCTGTGTCTTGGAGAACATTTAGGTCTTCGGTCGAGGTTTAAGCAAGCATTACACAATCACCCAGGTATATTTTATTTGTCAAACAAGATAGGAACTTATACTGTTGTTTTGAGAGAGGGGTATAAGAGGGGTGTGATTGTTGAAGATCATCCATTAACGAATATGAGAAGCCAGTATATTCACCTTATGAACACGGTAAAGGAAGATGGTAAAACGATCAGCGTGCCAGGTAAAAGTACTCAAGAAAACAAGAAGGTAATTCATGCTAAAGGAAAAGATGAAGAGGAAGAGGATGATGAAACTGAGGACCAGCAGGAAGGGGAGTTGTGTGATTCATCTGATGATGAAGTTGAGTCTGATGATGTTGACGATGATAGTGATGAAGAAGATGAAGATCAGAGTGAGACAACCGTTGAACAAAATGCTATCAATAACAGAGGACGAAGAGGTCGAAAGTCTAATTTTGATGGGAAAGCACCTTTCAGAAATGCTGAAAGAGGTAGGTTGGACGGCAGAAGAGCTAGGAAATCTGATTATGATATGAAAGAACCTTCCAGAAATGCTGAACGAGGAAGGTCAGATGGAAGAAGAGCTAGGAACTCTGATTTTGATGGGACAGCACCTTTCAGAAATGCTGAAAGAGGAAGGTCGGATGGAAGAAGAGCTAGGAAGTCGGATTTTGATGGGACAGCACCTTCCAGAAATGCTGAAAGAGGAAGGTCGGATGGAAGAAGACCTAGAAGATCTGATTTTGATGTGAAAGAACCTTCCAGAAACTCCGAAAGGGGTAGGGATGGTAGACAACACCCTGGTAAGAGCGGAGATGGGGTCTATTCAGAAACTTCTAGAGGAACACAAACTCATTTGAGGCATGATATCCATCAGAATGCAAGAGGAAGATCAAATTTATCTCGAAGCAAGGGGAGGTCATTACCAGAGAAGAACACTAGTTCTTAGAGAAGATTCAGCTAATTTTTCTGCTACGACATTTTGATAGGTTTGTATCAAGTTCTAAATCTTCCTTGTAACGAGCTTCGAAATTTATAATTACCTTGACCTGCTTAATGATTTTGTGATTGATTATAACTTTGCACTTGGAAGCACATGAAGACTAAAGGAATAGCTAATGGATAATAACTTAATGGTTTTAGTTATATATATTGATTGTGCGTGGAAGGAAATGGCGAAAAGTAATTGAGAAAAAGATTAGTGACATAAGACATTGTCGCTTAGTACAAAATTTGGTTAGGGAAAGAGTGTAAACTCTTCAAAATATTGATCAATATCTCCGAGTCTGTTAGCTTTGATACTGTGGTTGGAACTCTGCAATAGAGTACTTCCATGTTGCTGACAGTAAGAGTTAAAAGTTCTTTGGGAGGTTGGCATGACTACACCACATACGCTTTGTTGATCTGAAATTACATTATCATTTGTTGGATCTTTGGATTTTCCATCATAAGTAAATGAACTTGTATCTATTAAAATAGAAAGAAAGAAAAGGAAGAGGCATGATAAATGTCTTCAAGCAAGAAACTTACAAATTAGTTTCATCTTTATATTTTGTTTTCCTTCTTCATTTGCCATATAGGATGAAGTTTCATCAAAATCCAAAAGGCCTTTTTACATATTTCCCAGCACAAGAATTGCATTCCTAGTGTTCCCACTATGCATGCCTCTAGTTTATTTCTCCTTTTGATGAGACAACGGGTTCACAACTTGTGGATCTATTGGGCATGGTAGGATGGCTTTCCAACTTTTATACCTCTCTTAATGAGTTCCCTTTTTTCTGGCTAGTTATTTCTGTTTTCTTGTTTATCGTTTTATTCCCCTTCATTTCTTAAGATCCAGTTGTACTGTCGTTGTAAAAGTTGATATTCATAATTTCATACGGGAAAGTGTTTTCCCCAAAACACTTTTATTGAGGAAAACCTTGATCCTAAAATCCCTCCTCAACAATTTAAAAGTACATGCAAAGTAAACTGTGGTCAAACAGTTTTTACAGTTTGATGATGGAGAAAGTAGAGGGTATATTGTAGAGTGGAAGAGATTTCAAGAGGTGGAAGTTTATTCTCGATACCAGCAGTTTTAAGTATCTTGCCAATTTATTATCTTCCATATTCCAAGGAAAGGGGCATGTGAGCTGGAATATTGAATGAGAAATGTTTTGTGGGGAAGGCCATATCAGTAGTAAAGGTAATGCAGAATGGACTAGGGTTGTTTTTATCTAGGGCTGCTACTTATTCTGTTTTTCTTTTTGTTAGTTTACTCTTTACCTATTAGCTCCCAATTTTTTATCATGTTCAGCGTCCTGTTTCGAGAAAGATGAGGTCCTTGTAAATACTTACGTTCTTATTCAGGAAGACAGACTCAGATGTTTGAATAAACAGATTTTTCTCCCTGAGTATCTTCTTTCTGTGTCTTCCCTTCTATCTCAATCCTCACTCCTCAGGGCATGTTTCCATACCCAAAACCAATAGGACCCACCTATTCATTCCTCTAGTTAGTAAACACACGAATAGGAATGGTATCCATTCCTTGTAAGCAAACATACCCTAATTTCTGTTACAGATTATCAGTTTGTTTTTCTATTCTTCTCATGTAGTCTACCTATTTCTCCCGCTCATCTATTTCACTTCACTTGAACCCTACTTACGCTTCCCTTCGAAATCCACCCCAGGTGCCATAGTCTTGTTACTGGTTTTACATCAGAGTGTTCTTAGAGAAAGACATTTTCCAATGCTATAGTCCCTTTTCTTCTTGCTGTCAGGCTATGGGGAAAGGTTATGTTTGGGAGAAAAGTTGGGTAATCAACTTTATTTGTTTAGTGTAGTCATTTATAAAGATCTCCGCCTTTCATGCCATGCCTATTGCTATATTGTCAATCTGCTAGTTTCTTCCTTTGAGCTGGATTTTGGCTTTCAAAGAAACATAAATGAATCTGCAATTGGGGAACTCACTCCTCTGCTGTCTTTGTAAGAGAATGCCTGAATAGTATCAGATAGCAGTTATAATCTTCTGGGGTTTTGTTATATTTTCTAGGAATCGCAAAGGACATGTGTTCAGTTCTGTCAGTGCGACTATATGGTGGTGAGCGATGACTTCAGTTTGCCGGCAGAAATTGTTCTAAGCAGGAGACTTTCTGCCCTCTAGTTGGCTGTTTTCGGAACAAAGCATCGTTCCTTTTCTACATTTCAACTCGTTTGCAGTTGTGTTAGCTGATCGTTCTTCTTGCATGCGAAAGTACAGCAGCAAACTATATAGCCACTTTGCTGGCTGTTTTTGCGGGTTAGCGATTCACCAAAGACCTGGGAAATGACAAATCTTGGAAGGCTTTCTTATGTAGCTTGGTTTACATTAGTTATTGTGTTGTGCTCAAATTAAGATTACTTGATTAACAAACTTGTTCGTAAATTCTCTGTTTAATATCTTTACACAAAATAGTGGAATTAAAAGAGCGAATGGTCTTGTTGATTTGGGGATAAAATATCATTTTCGTACATGTAAAATGTGGGCTTCATACCCACAACAACTTACCAAAGCGAAATATTATTGCCACCCAAATCCATTGAACCGCGTTATGAAAATACACCTCATGTGCTAGGGGCGGGAGCAATTGAACTCGAGATTTTGGGTACAAAGGTAAATGCTGGTATTTCTTGACCCGTTGAGCTAGAAACCCCTTGCACATTCGTATTCAGTTACAATACTTACATGTAATTAATACAATATGGTGATTGTATTACATACATATATTCACATAAATTATATCTCAACTTTAGATGGTGAGTGTACTAATATAAATATTGTAGACAATCCCATCTACTTATAAATTTATGTATAAGTCACCCAAGAAAGTTACCCCAAAACACCATAAGTAATTGATAGGGGTGATTTTCAGTAGGATTGGATAAGAAACAAGCATTCAAATGCCAATCCAAAAAGGTTTCGGAACCAAATATTAGTTCTAACATCTAGAAATAAAAATATTAGTTTCAATTTCTAAATTTTGGATTACATGAATTTTTTGAAAATTTTGAAACATATTTCAAATCTCTTACGTTTTGCAAGACTTTGAAAAAATTGTAAACTTTTTATGTATCCAACGTTCAATTTTTTTTTTTTTTTTGAATTTTCACAATATTTGTAGACCGCTATAATATGTGTATGATATAAATCATATTAGGCAAGAATAAATAATATATATGATTATACTCTTCATATTTAAAATCTAATCGTAGGGAGTTTTCCTCTCCACTCTCTCTCTCTCCTCTATTTGCACTTACTATTTCCAATTGCCATCCAATTTTTTTCAAAAATTTTTAGAATTGGAAATGTTCGGATTCAGAATTTGGAATTTTCAATCCATCTTGAACCCTAGTAATTGAACACCCACATATGCTTTTAAAAATCGAACTCACCTCTCACATCATATAAGATCCTCAAAAATTGTACTCCCATCATATTTATCGCGACGAACGAGTGAAGGCTCCACTCCATCTCCCCCCAAAGTCCCGATGAACTATTATTTGTTCCCCAAGTCTCTACTTTTGGCTAGGGCCTCCATGGAGAAGCTCTTTTATTTGGCCGTTGTATACGGCAACATGCACAACCATGTAAATCTTGTCTAGGATTGCTCCATTGTTTAGTGTCTGTAATCATACGTGAGAGATATTGTCCAAATAACCAAACTCAAGAATTTCTCCATCTCTAGTTTTGAAAATTAGACACAAATAATACAGTTGCTATGGACCAAAAAAACCCTAAAAGTAGGACAGTAGGCCATATTTAAACTTGGCTGGACCCTGGCGGGCGAGTTGTCATTGCAAACTGCAATGCCCATCAAAACTCTAACTTTTAAAAATCCAACCAACCAAATAGTCAACATAAAAAATAAAATAAAAAACTGTTAAAACTACTACAGCACAGTCAACAAAAGTAGAGTCTCCGACAAAGATCCCACACAAAACCTCTAAATAAAACCATCTCCACCGTTCATCATCAGTAACCCTTTGCTTTCTTCGTCATCTTTCTCATGCCCTTGTCCTTCGTTTTTGCAGTCACCCATTTCTATCCCGGTCAGCATCTTTGCCTTCAAAGACTCTGCCTCCCAATCAGTCCTCGCCACCACAACATACAGAATGGACACAGCACACGCCACCTGAGCAGATAAAAGCCCAAACCAGAGCCCGCCAAACCCTACCTTGAGCCAGAAGGCAAGTCCGACCGCCACAGGGGTGCCCACGAAGTAGAACGACCCCAAATTAATGCGGGCACCCACAGCCGGGCGTGCTGTGCCACGTAGGATGCCACAGCCAGTGGTTTGGGGGCAGTTGCCTAACTCACAAAGCCCCATGATTGGCATGACTGATGCAACCAAGGCTTTGACGAGCTCGTCCTTGGTGAAGAGGCCTGCCCACCTCTCTCTTAAAATCACCGTCCACGTCACGTTGATGATGCCGATCACAAATGCACATCCCAATGCCACCATCGCTGCTAACTTCGCCTTGTATGGCTTCCCACAACCAAGCTCATTCCCTACCTGCAAACAGATATGCAGATTCAAACAACCATGTAAGAAGCAAAACGCTTGCGTAAGTGATTGTCAACCGTTGACAACAGTGGAACCCATAATATTTTATCAACGGATGACAGTCACGCTCCCGTGCCCTAGCACGGCTCATATCGGCTCGTATAAAAATGTCATTGTGAAATGTGAATATAAAGATTGTGCTTCCCACGCTCATTCCCAACTTGCAAAACATGGGTGCACATCACATTCAAACATATTTATAATAAGAAGCAAAACTATACTAACAGTCGTTCACACACACGTAACTGTTAGCTGTTGACGAAATTTCAAAGGCTCGAGTATGGATGTCATTATGAATATAAGATTGTGGTCGTTACTATACCACTAACAAAATCAACATTTTCAGATATTTTATGGGACCCAGAATCCCAGATATTGTTTGTAATGGGTAGTGTGAATGGTAAACATCTAAGGGAAGAAATGGGGCTGCTGGTGCTGGATGGTCTCGCAGAAAGTGGAGGGAAGCTTTAACAAAAAAGGAGGCAATTGAATTGGGTAGCAAAACACAAGTACTTGCATGTCTTATACAAATTTTGTCATATCATATCGCATGTGTGACCTATCTGGTTCCATATAAGTGATGCAATCCCCTTCACAGATAATGACGGCATATCTTTCACAATAAAATAAGCGCTTATTAATTTCCACTTCAAAAAGTAGGAATATCTCTACTCGATATCTTATGTTTCGAAATATTTTATACTAAAAAATTCTCAGTGTTAAATCTTTTTGTATCTTTAAGTAAGAATTTAAGAATTAAAGTTCTAAAATATAAAATACTCTGAATCACCGTAAAAATCGGAGAATTTATTCTGCAAACAGTGAATTATACTTGTCTTGGCGTTTGGCAATGTTGCAAATATTATAATAAGAGCATCGAATCTTGTTTTAAGTGGGACCAATGAGACTGTTCACCCATAAAATGAGACTCGAACACGACAATATTCTAACTATACTAGATATACAAGTTCACATAAATCTTTGTTGCATTCATAAATCTTTGTTGCATATAAATTTAAACCAACTTTAGACTCTAAATAACTAATTTCAAGTATAAAAAAACAGCAGCTATAGCACTAGAATCCTCATTGTGTTATAATTAGATGTATGGTAGGAGATGCAGATTCGAACTTGCGTTTGTCAAAAGAAAGGGATGATGAGACATATTTTAGCATTGAGGAAAGAAATCGATTATATTTAAAACTAGCTAGTACATTGAATAGAGAAATTTCGTTGAATTTGACCCACGAATGCTATAATTGGTGTTGGGAGGGCAAATCATGCATGTAGACTTCTCGGAAGTGCTAATAACTAGTCACTTAATTGACTTAAACCTAAGATTAATTTTGTCCTTTTTCTTCCTTCTCAGACCAAGTTGACCAAAAAGCAAGGGAAAAAACAGTATAGATATGTGTGTAACTCATTGAGTTAACAATCTAAATTCTGTTATTCAGTATTACGGTTTGATGATATTCTTATTCATTTGAAAATGAAAGGTCTTAGGTTCGAATCTCGTGGATGGCGAATTCGATACCAAATTAAGTTACCTATTGTATGGTTTAGCCAAACTTCGCCTCCCACTAGTGTAAAAATATCAATATACTTATAAAAAATAAAAAATAAAAACAAGGAAGGAAAGTTGGAAACTTACCCTGGCAGAAACACAGCCAGAAAGGGCCAAGGGGACAGTGTACATCATGCTAGTGGTCTGAATAAGAATCCCGGTGGCGGCCACCGCCATAGTGGGATTCGGCAGATATCCAGCCATGACAGTCACAATCTCATACCACCACCACTCCAAACATATCCCCAAGCAGCTCGGTACCGCCAGCTTCACCAACGGCCCAATCCCACTGCACAAATATCCAATCCCAGCTGTCCATCTCATCTCCATCTTCCTCCACCTCCACCACACGTACCCCGCCATCAGCACGGCCATGTTCAGGTTCGTCAGCACCGACGCCACCGCCACCCCTGGCACTCCCAGTCCCATCACCACCACCAAAACCACGTTCAGCGGCACGTGAAACGCCACAGCTATCATAGAGCAGTACATCATGGGCTTGGTCACTTTCTGCGACCTCAAAAAAACCCTCAGAGGCTGCAAAACCGTGTTTGTCAACAAGTCCGGGAGAGAATACAAACAGTAGGTGGCGGCCATTGCAGTGATGGCCTTGTCCTGTCCCATGAAAACCATGATGGGCTGGAGATTAATCCAGAGGAGGCTGATGGGGATTACGGCCAGGAGTAGGATTAAAACCATGCGCTGGAGGGAGAGGGAGAGGAGGTCATAGTTCTTGTTGCCGTATGCTTGGCTGCAAACAGGTTCAAGGCCGGATGCTAGTCCCATCAGGACAGAGTATCCGGTGATGTTGGTGAAGCCGAGGGACAGTGCGCCACCGGCTAGCTCTAGACTTCCAAGCCTGCCAAGGAATAGGACTGACACCGCGGCTCGGATAAACACCAAACAGTTCATGGCCGTTATGGGAAACGCCATCCCCCATAGCTCTCTAAGCTCTTCCAACACCTGTAAAAAAATAAAAATAAAGTATATGTTTGAAGGCAGAGAGACAAAGTAATGGAAATTTGACGACATGGGTTGGTTAAACTAGTACCTGAGAAGCAGAAGGGAACTTGTGGGAGCAAATATCCGGGTCCTTATCTGCCATTTGTGTTTGCTGCACAAGAAAATGGTGGTGTTTTTTTCTTCCTGAAAGAATCGTTTAAAAAACAGTTGGTAAACTAAAACCAAATGGAACCCAATAAAGATTTGGAGTTGTATCCTTTACTTGGTAAATCAAATGGAGAAATAAACAGAAAAGAAAGCAAAAGATTGGAGAAAAATTAAAGGAAAAACTCACTTTTGGTTAGCTTGTATAATCTGTGTTTGCAGAAAACCGAAAGAGGAAGTATAGAGTGAGGGAGAAGAAAAGTAGAAGGCTTAAAATGCAGAGACAAGAAAGAAAGAGAGAAATAATGAGAGAGAGAGAGAGAGAGAGAGAGAGAGAGAGTTGGGGAATGGGGTTACTTTTATTCGTCGATATGAAAGGTGAGGAAGCAGAAGAAGCACGCAGGGCTACTGGCGGATATAGAGTGAGAGTGTATATATAGACTGTCTGGGTGTGGGTGGGGTTTTAAATTTCGAGGCAGATGAGGGGAGGAGAGAGAAAGACAAGGGAAAGGAACGTTTTCTATTGTTTGGGAGGCGGAAGCAGAGAGAGAAGGCATTTTTAAGCTTTTCGTTATAACTATTGCTGCAGAAAAAGAAAACTTTCAGTAAAGAGAAAGCTACAGATTTGAAGATGAGAGAGGGAGGGAGACGTTTGGAAAGACCAAGGGTCGGTTAGATTTTCAAACAAACAATATAAATGAGTATAAGTAATTCTCACTTTATTACTTTCATGTATCATCAAATTTGCACTTTATTACTCTTAATTTTTTTTATTTTTTATCAAATGCTACTTTTATTTTTGGCTTAAATGTCAAAATGATCCTTATGTTTTACTCATTGGGTAAATTTAGTTCATGTGTTTTCAATTTGGCCAATTTTGTTCTTGTGTTTATCTCCATTAGCCAATTAAGGACATTCCATCTAATTTATGATTTTTTTTTTTATAAATAATTATATGTTGTAGGCATAATTTACTGAACAATTTTGGAGGCCATAGAGAGAGAAGGGGTGCGGCACATAAAGAGAAGAAGAGAGAAATGTGTAATTGTGGGTGTGTTCTATTCCACTCCATTGTGCCTTTATTTATAGTAGTATGATACGTAAAAACCTTTCCTTTTAGGATTACAACATTTAATAGGTAATCTACTCCTAATAGGAATATAAGATGCATTCCCATATCTATTAGGATTTACACAATCACATTCATATTCCAATAGGACTGCAACACTCACCCTTGAGTGTGTAAATACTCAAGTAAATGACGCATCGGGTCTTCAGCGATGAAGCAAGTATAGTTGATGAAGTCGTCGGCAGAATGAGTGAGTGCGAGTCTCAAATCAACGGAAGAATGCATAAAAAGTAAAACTCATAAAACCTCGCTATGGTAAAACCCAAGGTGGGAGAAAAACCCATAGATTAACGAGAAAAGTGAGAAGTTGCATTAAGTTAAAACTATACGTCTTTTGGACACAAGTAGAATAGCTCACAAGGGTATGATCAGCCTAGGATGGGTGCCTCGTTAAAACCTAGTTAGGTAGCAAAAACCCAGTGGGAAAAATGCTCCTAACCGTAGGGAAAAAGAGTACATTAAGATCAAGTGATTATACTTCTAGATACTCCCCATAAGTTTGACATAACTTCCAAATGAGAACTACAAGCATTGCATATGAATAGTTAGGCATACCAATTCCTCGGACAAGCTTCTGGAAGGTTGACTTTGGCAGTGACGTCGTGTAGAGGTCGGCAAGGTTGTCTGGGATCGGCTTGCATGACTTCAATCTCCTGAAGCTTTGCTAATGTAGATGTATACGCAATATGTCTTGGTGTTGACTTCGTTGATGTATCATGGCTTAGTCGGGTGGATACATACGGCATAATCTTCATGGATCGTTGTTGGGACTCAACGATAAATGAAAACACAACAAGTACTTCGAAATTGCTCAACAGAACTCCTAACCATGTCTCATTTGTGGTGTAGTGAAGTGAGGTGAGTCTTGGAACGACTTGAAGATTTCGCAACTAAGGTCATATCATGGACCTCCAAGATATTGCGATATCCCTAATGCTAAAGACATAACCATTTGGGGATTTTGCCTTGTGCGGGTTTGATAAGTAATTAGCATCAGCATAACAACAAGGCAAACATCGTTTCGAGGATCAGGGGGGTTGGATCTGCTCGAGATGCTTTGGGATTTGCCCATGTAGTACCTTTATGGTACGTCTTTAATACCAATTCAATGGTTGCGTGTAGGCGCGGTACTGCATCTTTACCAAGATCAACAGTGAAAGAGATGTCCTGCCTAAATACAATGAGCTAAGTACAACGAAGCGCAAAGTTGAACTCAGATATGGAATTTCGGATTCCATAACCTCTTCAAGGGTCTTATTTGCTTATAATGTATGGACGATCATAGGTATACTCAAAGGTAACACATTCAGGGTGTAGTTTGATTGGTAAACCAAAATACCGTCAAAACAATGCTTCAACTTCAGGTCAAGGCATAAATGAGTTTTCCTAAGATCCTTCATCTCAAATTCCATCTTCAAGTGCGAGGTAGTTTTCTCAAGCTCTTCCAGAGTCTTAGTGAGATTCGTGTTAACGACATAAACTATAACTCTAGCAATTTTGAATAAGACTTCATAATTTAATACGCAAAGGCATAATTCATATCCCTAACTGATCAAATAATCACTTAGACAGGTATACCACATCTATCAAATTTTTCAATCCATAAGTGAACGCCTCAAAACGAGTTAAGAGGGTGTTCCGTGGTTTTGGAACTATTTGAAACAGTCCATGTAATTCTTCGGGAACTTACATGTAAATCTCCGTATCTAGATCCCCATGGAGAAAACATTAACCATATTTCATAATGTTGCTATCAATCACATGACGTTTTGAGAGAAACCTTAAGCCGTAAGACGTGCATCATATTGCACTATTTCATCTATCTCATAACGCTTCCTTTCCCACTTGTAACATAATAGGGTTACCTTGGGCAGTGTAAGAACGACAGGTTCAATACACACTTTGGTACGGAATTTGACCTGGATTGTAACTTCAGTTGTCCAATCAGTTCTACGTTGTCACTTAATCAATGGAACAGGGTTTAATATCGTCACTTTTCATTTATGTCGGTAGCTACCATATAAGTGAAAACATCATCGATGATAATCTCATTTCAATTCCATTTAGCTTATCCAAACTAGTATACTGGACCAAGAACTTTAAATCTCGAGAGAAATCCGGATTAATCTTATGAGATGGAAATGATTTGAGACAACGATTGAGTTTAGATTCATTGTTGTGCCGTGTTATCCTCTTCTAGGGAAGTGAATCCTACGAACCAAATGATTTGTCGTGCTCCAGGCCAAGACAAATTGATTGGCTATCCGTTGGTGTACTGGACCGTCCAACAGGGGCGGCACACCCTCCAGGGATGTTGACTCGACGTCCGTTAAGTACGTCTATCCTTGCAGACATGTTTGCAGTTGGTATATAATCTCGTCACTTTAGCTAGATTAGAGGAATGCGTCTGGGGCAACATTCTGAAAGCTAGAATTCATTGCACTTGCTTATCACACTTATGCGGTATGGGGATCAAGATGAGACATAGTGGGCAATGTCCACGCAAATTCGCGCCGTTTAGCAGGAACGTTGACGTTCTTATCTCCCCCTAACGGCAGGAAGACTGTCTCATTAAAGTGACTACCCGTAAATGAGCGGTAAAGAGATTGTATGCCAGGGCTCGAAGAGAGCTAGTGTGAAGGAGAATCATGATCGACAAAAGATACACATCATTCTTTAAGGACCATGGTGGTACGTTGCGGCGGCGCAACTTGGCATATGGAATGCACACCCAAATGTGTAAATACAAAAATCGTCAGGTTCGTACTCGGTAACCAACTGTAACATCATATAGGTTGGGTGGCAATGGGCCTCAAGGTGGACCAACATAACTGTGTACAAGGATTGCATAGCCCTAGGCAGAAATCAAAAACTTGGTACGTTTACCAAAATTACGACGATCATTTTAAATTGCACTTTATGATTACTAGGCTAGGCTATTTGGGGTGAATCATGGGAATTAGATGTTCAATTATAAACCCAAAATGACATGCAATACTTTATCGAAAACTGTCGATATAAACTCTCCGGCATTATTCAGTATCCCGGACCTTATGGGATAAGTATGGTGGTGAACCCTTAATCGGCCATGAGGTTTAGCAGTAATGTGTGTTGACAAACATGTGACCAGTTTATCGATTCATCAACCAAAACCATAAGTATTTTATATGGTCCGCATTTTCATTGGATTAGTCCACATATATTCCATTGAATCCACTGTGAAAAATGAGGCATTTTGTATCTTCGCTATGGATGATTTAGAAATCAAATTTCCCAAAATGAGCAGGCTTTTGGCAAAGTGTGCTTGTAGGTACAAGATCCTTACGGTGGGTAAGGAGATCCGTTGTAGCATCATTGTTTGACCTAAGTGTCCCAAAAGGTCATGCCAAAGCAAATAAAATGCTCAATCACCTGGCTACAGGTCGCCCATATGTGTCGTGTGCCCCAGTTGGGAGACAACCCATTGGCCCTAAATCAAAGCTTCGAGCTTATTTTTAGAGGTGGTGCGAAGATATGTCACTCGATTTTCTTCAGTGGTTCATTTATGATTATTGTCATCTCGAATATCCTTAAAAACTCAACGTCAGGGAGAATTTAGGGTCCCTTAAATGGTGATTCAGTACCATTCATACAACGAGGAGCGTGCCAATGCTCTTAATCGGGTTGGATAGATCTAAAGTCGTTGTTAGAGATGTGATTTAGATGTAAAGTTAGTGTGCGTTGTACGCATTCATCCAGACAACTAACTTTCCCACATTCCTACCTAATCACGTGTTTAATTAAATCGGTCACATGTATTAAGAAACATGATTCAATTAACTCATATTCGAGGACAATATCAAGAAGATTATCCATAAGTAAAACATACACCAAACTTGAATCTAAGAACATGGAAAAATGTTCACAAAGTAAATGGTTTACTACGAGGATTCAACCAACAAGGCTATCCATGTCAAAATTCTGCTCTTCCAACGATGTTCGGTGGAGCAAAATTAGTCTCACAAATTGACTACGAGAATGGTACTCTTTAACAACATTGGTAGGGGTACGAACAGGTGCATAACCAATGATTTATTCCATCAAGACGAAAATAGATTCTGCAGGGGTTAAGGTTCATGAATAGTTGCCCTTATTCTTGAAGTTTTAGGTCTTAGTTACCAAGGATCATGCTTCAGGCATGATGCCACACCTTGGCAGGTTCCGATTCTCCCATATGTTCTAAAAACAAACTTGAAATTGGATTGTGAGAGAATATGCCATTCGGTGTATCCCTGCTGAAGCAGTGCATCACCATTCGATAGGCTTTGACCAAACTGGGTTGAGCAATTTGGTAAACGCCAGCCGAACTGGGTCTATACATTTCTTTCACATTTGTGGTAGTAATCAGATTCAAGAATTTGATAAACTTCTGCTATCTACCATGCTACTTCAGGGGAAAGTTAGAAACAAGGAAGGACGAGAAAAGTATTCTCAAGTCAAAATTCGATCGGATTTATACATTTCATAATTGTACGCATTCATGGACGTAATCATGGTGTGCTGCAGGC